TGAGCCATTTTGAAAAAGATGAATGGGGAAAAACTTTTGCCCCAAATCTATCAAACTGGTAGAGACACATCCTAAAAGACTTGCAGATCTAACTGCAGTGAAATGGTGGCACTACTAAATAGAACATGTATACAAATGCAAACCTGTCGCTTAGCCTTGTTTTATTTGTGAAAATGAAAATGATATATATAATTTTCCTTACACTTTAAGAATGATAAAAGCCAGATAGAATTTTTTTAACTTGAAAAATGTGAGAAAGATTGACAGTTTTAATACCTTGCAAAGCACTCTGACTGTATGGGATCGTGCAATGTCCTGGTTGTCTGAAATTCTGATTACTTCTATTAGAATGTCTGTTGATTCTGGTAAGCGGTACAGGTAAAAACCTTTTTAGGAGATCAGAACAATGTATTTGTATTGCATGCAGCATCTAGTAAAAGCTTGCCTCAACTCTAATTAAATACAGATTTTAATAAGTATTCAAGGTGTGTATAACCTCACAAAGTACATCATTCAAACACAGTTGCAAACTGAAGAATCACTGTTAATCTTTTTGGAGGCAGAGAAGCTTTTGCAGTAAATAATAAAAATAAAAAAACAGCTTTTTCAGTTCACTTAATACAAAAATTAAACTAAGTTTGACACTTTAATCAGCAAGTCAAATGCTTAAATGTTGTGACAGTTACAGTGCAAACACATCAGTTGTTACCAAACACAACATTTTGCTGCAGCATTTCTCTGGCTTTAAACAAAATGTGGGTCTCTAATTAAATACAAGGGAGTAATTCTTTTTTTATGAAATTGGGACCAAGAATAGTACTTGTAGTGCAATGAGCTCAATTCCAAGACTTGTCATGCAGTACCTTGCGAAAGTATACATAGCCTTATGCTATTATACATTTTGTCACATTAAAACCACAAATTTCCACATATTTCATTGAGATTATAAGTGGCAGATAAATTCAAAGTGTCACCTAATTGTGATGTGGAAGAAAAATACTTCGAAACAAAAACCTGAAAATTGTAGTTTGCATATTTTATTCCTCTCAATACTATGGGAAAATTACTGTAATTACACATGCAAGAGTTTTGGGGTAAGTGTTCACTGTCTTTGTTTATCCAGAGGTTTTAAGGGGTTTGTCCATAGATATTTGCAAAATCTCTAAAGCTCACTTAGATTTGACAGAAAGTGCATATGTGCATCGATTTTCAAGTGTTTGGACAGCTTTTGCAATGCTGTACATTGATGGTGGACTTTGACTGGGCCATTCTTGCATTTGAGTATTTGATTTAAAACATTTACAGTAATTGAAACTGTTTTTAGAGTTATTGTCCTATTGAAAGGTGAAACTCTGCACCAATCTCAAGTCCTTCTCAGTCTCTGACAAGTTGTATTTCAGCACTACCATATACTTAGCTTCATCCATCCTCCAATAAACTCTGATCAGCTTCTCTGTACCTGGTAAAGGAAAGAATAATACCATAATGTTGCCAACCATGCTTTCTAATGGGCATAGTGTTGTTCAGGGAGAAGTGCAGTGTTAATTTTTGATCACAAATCTGATTTTGCATGTAGGTTTAGAACAGTGGACTCATTGCATTTCTCAAGGGTTGTTATCCTGCAACTTTTAGATGGCTCTCTGCTTCACCCAAAATAATTCCATTAGCAGAGCTCAGTAGAGCTTGACTGCATGCTAACAAGGCAGTTTCACCATTTAATTTAAGTGTGGAGGCCAACGGATACATCTAAAAGTTGCAGGATTCCAGTCCTTGTGGAATGCTGTTTAAGAATACTGGTCTAGAGGCTCAGCTTTGGTTTCTTCTGACCAGTGTCCCTTTGTGGCTTATGCCAAACTGCAAAAGGGACTTCTATTGTTTCAATTTGAACAATGCAAATTTTCCCACAAAAATACGTTGAAGTTTAAGATTGTAATGTGACACAATGTGGAAAAAGTAAAATGGTAGCTTGAGAGAGCATCTCAGTGACAACTAGCCAAACAGAACATTGGAGCTGGCAAACCATTTGTTGAGATGACATACATTAATCCAGTAAGGTAAGCGTCCTGACATAAAATGCACTTTAAAGGAACATAAATATTAATACTTCATTCTATCAAAGGGCACAGATAGAAAATACGGAAGAGAAAAAGGTAATAGTTGTTCCTCTGGTTCATTAATTGCATCTCATGCCTGTAAGATCAGCATATAAGTGTCTGCACAAAACTGCAGAGACAAAAAACATTTAAAAGACAATTGTCTTGAGGGTGGCACAAAAAAGCAGGATGGAGGAAAACCAGGTTTGCTAAATTGGTACATACAAGGAACTATGGCACTTGCCACCATATTTTTAACTTTGACACAATTTCATCAATTGTAAGGCAGTATTCTTAAAAAAACAAAAAAAACAAACAAACAAATGAAACAGAAATTAGGGGGGAAATGTGTTTTTTTTTTTCAGATTTCTCCCCATTATGTCAGGACATAGAGTATGTACATCTTATTTCTGTTATCTATACACATTTCTTTGGTTTAGATTGATCGCTTAGCTCCCTCAAAGTGCATCTAAAACATTCTGTAGCTGCTTTAGTGTGTCATTGTAAAGTAGCAAAATCACTTTTTCAATTATTTTTTCTTACCTCTGACGTAACTACTGATGTCGATCTACTCCTGACTACCCAACAGAACAATATCTTCCAACAGATTTTAGCCATTTGTGTTTTTTTTAGCCATTTGTGTATCACAAAAGACATTGTTTTCATCCAAACTACAATTGCTTTGCATCTTTTCTGCTTCACTAATGCTGTGAGCAGTGTTGTAGTCAAGACCACCTAACCCGAGACCAAGACAAGACCAAGACTTTTAGGGTCCGAGACAAAGTCAAGACCAAGACAGAGGTAAGTTGAGACCAAGTCAAGACCAAGACCAGAACCCCATGCTACATGACACTATAAAATGTGAAATATGATCAAAATTGCTAATCAAATTGATCTGAAAGATTCACATTCCCATAAAGACTGATAGATATTAAATACTTGGAGCTGAAATAAATTTAACCAATACTGAAAGCAGAACAAACTCTTTGTTCATGTCATTATCATTCATGTCAGAAATCACCACTGAGGCAATGTCCTGATGGCAAACAATGCTCAACTATGAACACTGACCAAAGAGCAACTAGCAAGAAGTAACGAAGCACAAGGTGCTCACCATGATTCTTCTCACCCTCTCTCCCTGCATGAAGCCAGGCAGCACAATGCTGTAATGTCTGCCATTATGGCAATGTCTGCCATTATGGCAGATATTACAGTGACCACTTTGAACAAAAACACTCAAACAGTCGATGTGCATGGTCTTTTATTCTTGTGTTTTATTTATCTGCTCATTAAATAAATATTAATCTATATAATTAAATGAAATAATGATAGCTATTGCAGTGTATGAAGAGCATTACAAGAACAAAGAACGGCTCTCAGTGAGGCTCCTGTCCTATCTTCTTAGTAAAGAGAAGTTCAGAAGACTCGGATCATTCGTGAATGTCACACAGTGATGTGGTGAGGTGTAAAGCTGATGAGGCACTGACTTAATCAAAATCAGATTTACAAATATAGACTGCCTGCATGTTATTGTTTACATAAGGAAATTTCACGCATGCAGACAACGCTGGAGGGCAAAAATACTATTCATACATGTCATGCATAGCCGCCCTGCCGCCATAGAATATATCTCAACTAACCCTATATCTAACCCTAACCTTGGCCCTCGCTGCACTTAACTTTACTGAATAGCTGGTTTGGTGTTACTGTCGTGGAGTTGTGGAGTCGCAATGTCTGGAATCATGAGCGCCCCCTGCAAGTGCGTGTGAAAGGGTGGAGGTTGGGTAACAGAAACACGTAATTGTAAATCACGTTATTGCTCGGATTTCAGTCGTTGTGTTTTGCATCCAGTGAAAACGATCATGTTAATAAATAAACTGGACAGTATGCAGTAAGTTTAGTGATATTTTCACAGTTGCGGTCTTGACTGGTCTTGAAATAAAATCCCGAGTCCTCAGCGCCCGAGACCATCATAAAATGGTCTCAAGACCAAGACCGGTCTTGAGTACTACAACACTGGCTGTGAGCTCCGCATATATCAAAGTAACATTCTGACCTATGGCTTGCACTTTTTTAAAACCCTGTTTAAGAGCATGTAAGATGTTCCCAAAAGCAATTTACATATTAGAGTAAAATAACACAAGAACATGTTTTACACACTTACTTTTCCATTCCTTACTTTTCAAACTTTTAAGAGATATATATATTTTTTATATAAATCAATTTACATTGTAAAAATGCAATGAATGGGCCCAATTTACAAGACATGTTTTAGATGCACTTAGAAATGCAGTATAATGGGAAGGAGAGGTTAAGTAATATTCAAGGACATACATTTAACTGCGTAAGGATTATTGAGCTTATATATATATATATATATATATATATATATATATATATATATATATATATATATATAATTTTTAATTTTTTTATAAAGCACATTTTAAATACATCTTCGATAACAATATACAACAGTTAAAAACCACACTGACACTAATTTACAAAATATTCCTCTTAAATGTCTTTAAACTCCCTTATATTGCAGCTGATCAACTGCGAATGTTTGGACAAGTGTGTATAACAACAAAATATTCAATAGGCACCCTGAGATGGGAATACAGATATGAGCTGTATGTTCTCCACAATCCAAGTTGTTTGAATCACTCTTTGATACAGAGGTGATAATAGTAAATTTAATAGTACAAAGAGACCAACTCCTTACACTTTTCCTTAAACAGTTGATCATATGTCTTTGTGTTAAATCCACAGTGAAAGGATTGAAATACTACATCCCTGGTAATATAGTTTGGTTTTGTTTGTAAAAAAAAAAAAGAAAAAAAAGAAGAAAAAACATCTTAAAAATGAAAACCTAATGTTTTGCATATAAGTATTAGAATTAAAAGTAAGAGCTCAAACTGCAAGAGATTTCTACATATTGTGCAGCATATGATGTAGAATACAGAGGAAACCAATATACTGTATGAAACCAACATACATGTTGCTAAGGATGGTTGATTGTTTTTGTACAGAATATATGCTAATTTAGTAGACCAGGACAAATCTTGACCTCTTTTTCATATGACACAGACTGGAAACCAGCAACATCATTCATATCTTTTTTCATGATAAATCTGTGATTTGCTGTGACATCTGGGAATACAGCTGTCCTAAGCTGATGGATTCTGTTATCAGTTCACACTGACCGCCGTGAATCCCTTGAACTGTGACAAACACTGCATTTGAGTTGCATAGTGATGTGTTAGTGTGCATAAAGAATCATGCCCATGCAGCTGCACTGGGCTTTTTGGTGAAATTGAAAGATAGTTATTGCATTTAGATTTAGTTGGTGATTGACATCAGTGCACAGAGCTCTTTAATGATAAGTCTCTGTCCTTCTGTTTGACTTTCCAAATACAAAATGCCAAAAATGACTGCAGTGTTAAAGAATGTCTTTTAATGTATTTATAAATATGGAGGTATTAAAATTGGTATTTGTTACTTTAAATAAACTCAGATTTGTCAAAACTATAACTATGGTGTTGTGTAACATATGTTGAGCAGGAGTTACGCATTAGAAAACTGGAGGAAAATAAGGTCTTGTCCCTGGCAGTGGCTTTCATCCATCCAACATGGAATCTTCTACAAGTGTTACTAAGAGAAGCAGGGGTCTACCAGAGCCATAGCCATATCCCCTTGTTTGGGACTAAAAGTTAAAGCTGAGACAGTCAATTTATCAGATACACTTGTTTAATAAATTGCTTGTTAAGAGAAATAGAGAACGAGCCAATCACATGACATTAACCCAATGTGTTTAGGAATCTAAACATGGTTTGGGCTGCTTGCTGAATTTTAAACTGAGCATTAGATTGAGGACGAATGGGTTGTAAGTGACCTGAAATGTGCCATGTCCTATGCTTGATGGACTGTTTTTACTATTTAAAAGACTTTTGATGTATTGAGATTTTCACAACCATCTCTAAAGCTCAAACAAAATGATTTTAAAAAAAGACAAAGCATTCAGTAAGGGTTGTGTGGATGATAGAAGGAATAGGATAGGTGGCATACTGGCTCTGAATATGCTGAAGCTTGAAATTGATGGGCCACCACAGCAGAAGGCGCTACCAGATGCCACTGTCAGTTAAGAATTGGAAACTGAGACAACAGTCGAAGCAGATGCACTAGACAATTAACATTTTGTAAGACAATTTAATATTTTGTTGAGTCTCTATTTTAGTCTCAACATTCAGATGCTGTGTTGTTTATGTCACAATCTGTCATAAACACCAGGAAAGCATTGATCCATCCTGATCTCTATCGATGGTCAGGTATCTGACAATGGTGCAAGGGTATTTTCTTGGGACTTTTAGTCCTAATTTAGCATAACTGTTTTCATGAGAACCAATAGTGTCACAAAGTTCACTAACCTTCCCATGCATGATAACCTCAGATAAAATCATTTTTAAGCAGTCTTTTTAGCAATAGAATTCTGCTTTATTAGTAGGTATTTAAATGTTACTTTAACCTCAGTTAGCTATTTAACCTTTTTGAACAGGTATACTACTCTGTCTGGCCCAAAAAAAAGTTGCCACTTGGATTTAACTGAGCAAATAGGTACAAGCCTCCTATTGAATAATTACAGCATGGGCGATTATGGTTCAGCTGACAACAAGTTATTTAACTCGAACCGGTGCAATCATTTGCTTCTCATTTCTTAACCACCCATTTGGACAAACACATCCCGTGGTCTGTTTGAGAAGGGTCAAATCATTGGCATGCATCAAGCAGAGAAAACAGCCAATAAGATTTCAGAAACTACTAACATTCGGTTAAGAGTATATTGGAATGATAGTAGGAACCCATTTTCTGTGAGGAAGAAATGTGGCAGGTAAAAAATTGTAAATGATCATAATCGGCGTTTGGTGAAATCAAATTGCAGAAAAACAAGAGTAGAATTCAGGGAGCATGAGAAATTTTCACACATGGATTTGCCACCAGACTTCAGACCCTAACGCCTTTAAGAATCTTTGGGATGTGCTGGAGAAGGCTTTGCACAGTCGTCAGACTGAACCATCATCAGTGCAAGCTCTTGGTGAAAAGCTAATACAACACTGAATGGAAATACAACTTGTGATAGTGCAGAAGCTCATTGCTGTAATCAAAGTTACAGTTAGTCCAACAAAATATTATAGTGTGTGACCTTTTTTTTTTTTGGTGGCCAGGCAGTGTGTTAATTTTATAAATTTATAAGTTAATAAAAAATACAAGTTACTTGCGAATGTTAACCAAATTATGATTTTACAAAATTGTGCCTCTTACTGTATATAGTTTTCTACTAAGGCTGCAGATCAGATTACAGTAGCTGATATCTATGGGTTCTAAGGCTGGAACAGCAACAAAAGTAAGGTTTCCTCCACATGCTACATCACATGCAAAAGATATAAAAAATGAAATTAATTAAAAACTCTTATGAAGTGACTTGATAGATTTAACTTGTCAAACAAACCTTAATTAATCTCTTCAATTCATTTACTAAGTTGTCTTTTACTAAGTTCTTTTTCCTGTTATTTTAGTGCAAAAACGATCAAACTAGGCAGTATAAGGTAAGCTACTGCAGCATTTAGGTTGCGAGAGTAAATCTAACCACATAACATGAAAAACTCTCATAATGAAATGACAGACTTAACTATCTGTCATTCTTCTATCTCTGTTATGAAAAGCTTCTTCTAAACTTCCAGGTGAGGCGAGTTTAATTATTTGAGGCGTTAGAAGTTACTAAAAAATGTGTTTACTAGTGGTGCTTTCCCAGTTTTGTGAAACACATCTACAGCAGCAGAAATTAAAGGATATCACATTTTCATTGTAATCATATAGTACCAATCAGTCTGTCAAGAGTAATAATTATATAATGAAACTGCAATGCTGGGCTTTTTTCTTTGTGGATGTAAGTGACTCTGACAGAACACACGTTGTCATCTCTTTAAAAGATGAGTTGATTCTAAAAGCACTTCAGAGACTCATAAACTTTGTGTGTTTTGTAAGTGTACAAATCTCTGCTGTGAATTAGGAAACAAAGCCACAGCTTCCAGTTTCATTAGTTTCTTGTTACTCCTTAGCTGCACAACTGCCTTGATATTACATAAAAACTGGAATTATCATATGAAACCCTCAAGTATCTAAGGTTCATTCTTGGTTTGCACGGTCTCTGACTGACTCATTATTGTTGAGTGGCGGGGGTGGTGATTGCTTGCTCCTCATGCTCCTGCCGTCCGTGGCAGCTCTCGACGTCTCCGTCACAAACAACCGCGTCACCCAGACAGAGGTGACGATGCGTTTGTACTCGTTCCTGAAATTCCTGTTGAGTAAACCATAGATGATGGCATTCAGGCAGCTGTTGAAGTAGGCCATGAAGTAGCTTACAACAAAAAGCCACTCTGGGATGTGGGGACCCACGCGAGTTGGATCTATAGCCACTGCCAATCCTATCAAGTTGAGTGGGGCCCAGCAGATTGCAAACAGGACAAATACAACAAACATGGTGATAAAATTCCGCAAGTCACTTGGTCTGAGGCGAGGACTGTCGTCAGTCTTTACTTTGCGTCGCACCTGGATATTAGAAAAGAATAAATTAGACTGCAAGGTATAGATCATACATAAAAATACATGCTTATATGACACATTTACTCATAAATACATAAGATGATATAACATATTGTGCACAGATTTACAGGCATTGGAAATGTTAGTTTCCTTTCAGTTGTAATGTATGTATTGTAAATTTTGAAAGAGGATGTAGCCATATGAGTCAGTTTGGACGTTTGGACTCCTACCACAGTCGTAGTGGAATCTTATTGATATTGTCATATTTTGTGTATTTTGGCAGCTAAAATATGACATATCAATGAATGGGTCTCTTAAATAAATGCTACAAAGTGTGAAACATACATATTCGCTCACATTTTGAATTTGAACTTTAGGACTTACCTGAATCACAAGAATCCAAATGCGAAGATAACAAAAGGTAACTACGGCAATGGGAACCAGAAAGTGAATCACTACCACCGCCACCGTGTAGGAGCTGCTGACATTCTGGGCAAAGGTGCAGGAGTAGACCCGTGGGTCATAGCGCAGAGAACCAACAAAGAAATTTGGGACAATGGCCACAATAGTGAGCACCCAAATTAAGGCAACAAACAGCAACGTGTTGCGGTAGCTGTACAGTCGGCTGTAGGAGAAGGAGTGACAAATATAGCAGTATCTGTTCACTGCAATCCCAGTGATGTTGAAGATGGAGCCAATGACACTAAGCCCCATAAGGAAACCGCTGACCTGAAATAATAGAAAAAATGTGAAGTTTCGACAATATTCTTTAAAGTCATTGTCTTTTAATAAAGCGAAGAGATGACTGATGTGGTCCTACCATGCACTGAGTGTTTCCAAGCGCCCAGCCGTCATGGAAGAGAGCATAAAGGACCAGGGGATAGGGGTAGAAGGCTACCACAAGGTCAGCAAATGCCAGACTAACCACGAACACATTACCTGGGGAGGAAAATATAAAGTGATGAGGTTAGCTCCCAAAATATAGAGAAAAGTCTTGTTTTATGCTCCCAGATTATGAAAATACGCAATTTTCTCTGCAAATGTTCAAATCTTTCTTTACTTTGCCTCAATGCATCTAAAAAAATCGCACAGCTGGTCAGATTTTATCAGGTGGCAGACCTGCTGACTTTCATCATTGTTTCTGGCTGTTAAAGATAAGCACATACAGCCATGGTTCAAACCGATTTGCACTGCTTTGTCTTATACCCTGCACTGTCAAAACAGAGCAAATACTAGATGGTTGCATCGGAAGTGACTTTCAACAGGCCTATCTCAGGACATTCAGCCTGCCGTGATTGTTGGCAAAGGAGGCTGAGATTACAAAAGGTTTGTAGCTTGCACCCCACAACAGATTGCCTCGCCCAAGACAAAGTTTTATCAGGACAGGCAGAGTCAGTGTTTTGACAGAGTGGAGGGAAAAGCATGTGGGCAAAACAGCTGGGGCATGCAGTTCTTTTTTCATCTTGCTGCTAACCAGCCTAATTCAAAAAGAACTTGTTCACAGAATCTGGTTTGTGCATCACAAAAAAGTCAAAGTGTTTTAATAAAAGTGTTAGAAATAAATCTGAAATATAAGGAAACTGCCTCTTCACTGTTCCTCACACTTCCATAGCTACTCATGCAACTATATCTAAAAAATGTTTTTGAAGAAATATTAATGCTGTAATTATTAATCTTTGGTAAATGGCTTTCTGTTATGTTATCAGAATGCCATTCTGATGGCATTGTTTTTGGACTGTTGTTCAAAAAAGAGACATCCCATCCATTACATTTTAAATCAACTTGTTTAGTCTATTATTTTGCAATGAATGTGACTATTTTATACCACAGGATTTCCATAGACAATATAATTATGCAATTAACACAAACTGTGACATTACTTTAAAGATAGAAGCAATGTGATAATTATGTAATAACATGCTTTAATGTGTGGTTATGCTAAAATATTTGTATTTTTCTTGTTTTTGTTTAGCTACAATATGTCATCTTTCAGCTGTACCATGGTAAAGGGTAGAGTGATATGTAATTTTGTGATGTGTTTGTTTTGTTGAGACACTATGGTTCCAGGACATATTTAGAGATACTTAAGCCATTTTAAGCCATTAATTGGACTATCATGCCTATTAAGACTGAAGAAGAGAGTTGGAGTTCTTGCAGAAAACCCATGCATACTTTGGTAAAACAATCAACACTCACAGTATGGTATATACTGTTTTAAAACAGATATTTTTAAGCCAATATTAGCTATATTAGGTATTTCAGGTCCAGCTATTTATCCAATTCCAATTCAAACTTAATTTTGTGCTGTGTTTTGTCTTGCCTCTTCTATATTAAATATTAAATATTAAATCACCTTCACCACTTTTTGAATGTATACCTAAAAGCATTAACCATTTCACTCATACACTTTTTTGCTTAGTTGCAAAGTATCAGAGCCTCTACAGCTGAGAGCTGTTGGCTCTCCCAGAAGGTGCAATCCATTATTTGATGCAGTATTTCAGGCTTATTATTTTGGCAGCAGCAACAAATAACTACCAGATGTAACAGAGCTCACCTTGTGTTTCACCTGCCAGTTCATGAAAAGCTCATTTGCTGGGCAGCCGTAGTTCCACAGAAGTGCAACTGATATTCCCAAGCCTCAGACCATATTAATGATGCTGGAGAACAGGGTTCTCTGGTGTGTCACGTTCTCAGAAAAACCCTCTGAGGGACTACAAGAGCTGTTAGTGTCTGGTATAATCACCCAACCATGTCAAAAGTGCATGAAGTACACAGAAAATGTATTTTTAGCCTTGCTGTAGTACCACCATGCTGTTACATGTTAGTTTTTATAATTACAGAATGTGCACACGTGCCTTCGGTGTGTGACTGTCAACCTAGAAATGTCACAATGCTCTGTAAATCTTTAAAAGGAGGCACCACTTCAGCACCAGCAACACAATGCTTTCAATAGGAAAGAAATGCACCTTCCTTTCTTTTATGTAAAATTGTACAGCATCTTGTAGCATTGTTTAAAAGTGGTTAAATATTTATGCCTTAAAAGTCAATTAACAATTTCATAAGATACAGATTCATATATTGTTAGTTTAATATTTTAGTATAAAAATTGGCTTTTAACCAGTGTGTTATACACACATTGAACCCATTTGACTTGACTTCTATGAACTTAAAACATTTTTTCTAGGTTACAAAGGTTTTAATCAGTGCTGTTGCATGATAGATCTGGCAATTCATCCTAAATTCCAGTTTGGTCTAGTGTTCTTTATCTAACATAAGACCTGACACTTGAGAGGTAAAAACAAAATGGTGTAGAATATTTGAAATGCTACTGAGACCTTAACAGGAACCACTAAACCCTGACAACAAACACCAGAGGTAACTTTGATGCATGCATCTTGTGCCCTCTGCAGGAAGGAGGATCTGTGATCCTGCAGGTATGTTTCTTTTCTAAAAGGGCCTTGGGGACCCATTTGGAGTCCACAGCATCAAGAACCCTTTAAAATATCAGGAAATTTTGAAAAAAAAGTTTGACTGCCCCTGCCAGATGGATAGCCAATCTGATGAACTTTAATAAATTTTCAGTGCAATTTAGACATCGGGAGATATTTTTATGGGAACAGCTTTTCACCTCTGAGACACAAAGTTTCGAAGCAAACATTTTCCTAGATATCTTAGGGGAATCCTACAAATCATAGTCTAAATGCTAAAGTTTGTTATGTTTAAACTTTGTCATCGATATCAAAGAGACAAGACCGCAAGAAGAAAGAAGCAATTGGTCTTGAATTCAGATATTTACATTTTCAGCACTTTTTGCATCCTATTGTGCTAATCAGGCATTCTGCTGAATGCAATAATTTGGTGCCCAAACCCTGCTTTTTATGTGTAAGATAAGGGGAAAACACTTGCATAGAATGAAATGCTGATTTTATATTGAAATGAGTCTATTCACTGTAGAATCTCACTATCGGTGAAGAAATCCTTTAGCACAATTACTAGTTCTAAGTATAGGGTTGTCTGATTGCATAAATGTACCTGCTTCTGCTCACAAATCTATGCTGATAAGAAAAACTGTCTGTTGATAACAGCATATGTATGGATTTGTGGTAGATTTGCCAAGGCTGCTTTAATTATAGTCTGATAGGACTCTCCTTGCCCTTTACAGTGCATTTAAATAGAAACTGAATGTAATAGTCTTTCAATGTGATAAAGTATGAATTACCTTTTGGATTGGAAAGATTAAAGTTCATTACACAAGTTTTGTGCTTGTGGGCATGTGTGGCTAACATCTGCGAATTAATTAAGAGAAAAGCCACATTTCAAAATGAAGTTGAAATTACACACACAGATATGTGAAGTGATACTGGTGAGAAAATACTGCTTTAAGTTCATTGTACCTTGAAGCAGAAATACTTTGTTCCAAGGTTTTAAAATTTGACCTTTTAATTTAATTTACTTTTCTCATTTTATAGTAGAGGTAAATAATTGTGGTTACTGCTTGAATTGTTTAAAAAAGATTTAAAAAGCATTGTGGAAATTTATAAGGATAATCTTTAGAAAGAGAAAATATGTAGAAACTAGTATGGTTAGTTAATATCGTCACATAAATTTTGTGAGCAATATTATGAAAATAGTGCATATAATCTTCATGTTGAATTACTGTTGCGTAAGACGATTTGTGTTGAATTAAACTGTATATGAACCCATAAGTGTTAATTGTAGAACCAGAAAAGCTAAAAAAGAATTTCAAGAATATTTCAAGTTGAAACTGACCTTATTTCCTATCGTTTTTCAAGGAAATAAATGGTTGTAAAATGCATATCTTTGACAGAGGAAAAAGTCTTTGGAGCCATGCCTCTCAAAAATGGAACATTACCATATTCAATTAAGTTCACTTGAGTTCAAAAATACTATCAGTTCCAAAGGGAAATTAAAACACATATAGTACAATTTTCCTCAAAGAGTTACTGTAGATGTTGAAGTTGCATTCAGTCTGAATACTTTGATTTCTGTCATTTTGTCTACTGTAAGAAACATTGATGCTCAGTGTTCAATTTGTGATATCATAAGTAAAATAAGCATGAACACAACTAAAAAGAATTGCGTAAAAAAGGATTATAGACGTCATTGAAACAATTCTTTTTATATGGACAATCTGAAATTGCCTAAAACTCTCTATCATTGCTGAAAAAAATCACTTCTTTACACACATGCATGTAGATGTCACATCTTACCTAGTGACCCACCTAAAAAACATTTTGCTTGCAAGCAAAATGTTTGTTAGCTAGCAAATATTCACTTAAAAAATTAATATTCACTTATATTCAGTGATAATTGAATAAGCATTCAAATGTTATCACTGATAAATATTCAGTGATCATCCAAAATAAAACTGCAAATGTTGTTTCAGGTTTAGAGCAATTGATTCTAGGTTTGGATAATGCAAAAAAAAAAAAAAAAAAAATACAAAGGTTTAAATTAAGAAAAGAAACTGGTGGTATTTTTTAAAAGATGAAAGAAAATGCATAATGCATTTAATTTGTTGTAAAGGTTTATAAAATATTGTAGAACCTATATTTTTTGCACTACTACTTATTTTTTTTTTATGCCAAATGGATAGATTGGATGTTCCTGATGCAGAATTCAAACAGCTCTTCACATGATTATTCATGTGTACTTGATTAAATATGGAACCGTTGGCTGAAATGTAATCCTTTTTGACATAAGTAATGCATGAATAAGTGCTGCAATGAACAATATTTGAACAAAAATATAGTTTTGTGAATTTTCCCTACATTCCTGCAAGCCATTCCCCATGAGAACTGATTGCAATGATTTTCCTCTCATTAGCTTTTTCTCATGTCTTTCCTGTGGGAGGACATGCTAGTCAGATTAGCCTTGTTTGCATTTATATTTGTTTTTAGGGGAAGGAGTGGAGTCAA